AGGCTGAGGCTGAGGCGGAGGCTGAGGCTGCTGAGGCGGCTGCTGCTGCTGCTGCTGACCTCAGAGTAAACAGCCGGGGGGCGGGCGTGAGCTCATGGTACCGTGAAAACTAATATTTGAAGAGTGGACAGAACTGGACACAGTCAGAGCTGGACACTGTGTTCACGTCCACTTCATCCAGGACAATGAAGAGGAAACAAAGACCGTGTGTGTGTGTGTGTGAGACAGAGACAGACGGGGGAGGAGCAGGAAAACTTTACCGTTACAGGCAGAAAGTAGAGTAGAGTCAGGCTGCCACCCTGTGGTCAGTTTGTGTATCAACACATCAAAGTTTTCTGTTAAAATTTACATCCGATGTTTTCACGTGTTTCAGACAGAAACACCAACAGGAAACACAGACAAATCTGGGTTCTGTTCGTGATCATTTACCAGAACCACCAGAACCGTCACTCACAGGCTCCACGGCTGACCTCGTGACCTCTCTGGGGCCACATCGTCAGCCAAACAAGTCTGACAACAGTTGACAGTCTGAACCAATCAACTGTCAGTAAAGGACGGTCAGTTCCTCAGTTCTACCACTAGGGGTTTTTGTGTTATGATTAGATGTGAAAACAGAAGATGGAGATCAAATCATCAGTGGTTTTTTTCTCTCTGTCTGTTATTTCTTCTCAGTTTGACCACAACAACACTGACCAACACGGTCAGAACAGAAACACGTGTCAACTCCGTCCAGAAAGTTGACCAACTCCAGTTTCCCACATGTGAGTTCACACGTCAGCTGTAGACAAAACTAAAAGAGACCAGAGTGTGATCCGCCGTCTTCACCTCCTCTGAAGTCACGACATCACCTTGAACCCAGACTTCACTGTGTGAAGCTCTGCCAAGGAAAGGGGGGGGGGGGGCAGGATGGCCGGATGGATGGGAAGCTGCCACATGAACTACAGACCAAAGACAAATGAGGTGGAGACAGACGGCCCTCGACGTTACTGTCGTTAGTTTCCATCTGAGCTCAGACCAGTCACAGGGAGCTGAGCGCTGAGAGACGGGACAGAACAGCAGGAGCGAGCTGCAGGTATGTTCCTACAGTCACCACACGGGGGCAGTGTGAGTCAATACTGTTCAATCCGCAGGAGTCGGATCAGACACTGATGACGTAGGACAGACGGAGAACACGGACAGTTGTCAACTGACCTTGGACTCCAGTCACACCAGACTGTACCCCCCCTTCACCGGTGGGGGGGTGGGGTGAGATGTGGGGGG